ACTGAGCTATCCCTTCCCCCCATATACATAACAATATATTTTAAATGGTGGTTCAATAATAGGATGAGAGCCAGGAGGCACCCAGCACTCTCTCAAATAGTTATTTTACCAGAAATAAATGATTGTTTCTGTTAATTGCAGGAAGAGCAGGAGGAATCAAACAGAGGCTGGGTGTGGAATGGAGGACTTCTGATAAGCATTGTGTTTGTTCTAGAAATATTTTCTTTCCCTTACTCCACCTCTTACCCCCACTCTCAAAAAAGGATAGAACGAACATAGGAATTGTCATACTGGATCAGACCTGTGGTCCATCTAGTCCAGTATCCTGTCTCTGACAGTGGTCAGTATTAGGTGGGTCAGAGAAAGGTGTAAGAACCCCAGTGTAGACAGATGTGGAATAGGCCTCTTCCTCATCTCCTGTAGTTAGAGATTGACCTAAATCCTGAAGCACAGAGTTTAATATTCCTTTCAATTTTGTTATTAATTATAACTCCAGATATTCCTTTATCCATATCCAAACTTGGTTTGAATTTTGGTAACTTCTTGTCCTCAACAACTTCCTTTGGGGGTGAGTTTCACAGTCTAATTACACATTGTGTGAAAAACTATTTAATCAGTTTTGAATTTCCCAACTTTTAATTTCACTGAACATCCCCTTGTTCCTGAAGTATGAGATAGGGAGAACAGTGATTCCCAATCTACTTCCTTTGTCAGTTCATTATTTTATATACTTTTGTCATGCTCCCTCTTATACATGTCCTTTCTAAGGTAAACAATCCCAATCTTTTAAATCTCTATATGAGACTTTTACTATGCCCTTTATATATTTTTTGAGATGTGGTGCTCAATATTCCAGGGGGAGGCCACACCATTGATATATATAAAGACATTATAATATTCTTTGTATTATTCCTATTCCTTATGCATTCTAACTTATTAGCTTTTTTTTACTGCAGCTGCACATTTAGCAGAAGTCTTTCCTGTGTTGTCTACAATGATGTCCAGGGTCCCTTTCTTGAGCTGATACAG